TCCAACCGGTGCTGCCGATACTCCTGCTCCGCACCATCATCCGTCCCGCCCCCCCGCCCCCCACCAGCCGCGAAGGGTTCGCTCTCCAGGAAGCGGGCTCATTCCATAGGAAAACAAGTCGGTGCCCATGCGTAAACGAGGAAAATGGTAACATCAATAGCGCTCTGCCGGGGAAGTCCTTTGCCCGGTTTTGGGACCTCAGCAGGGTTCTTGGCCATTCGGTCGGGGGCCAGTGTCCCAGACCCCAGTGCGGACCCTTCGGGTTTCAACAGGTACCCCACGCGACGCTACTCCAGTAGGGGGGCACATGCGAACCCTACCCCTACCCCCCACGTTCTCTGAGGGGAGGGGTGGGGTTCACTTCGTTCGTGAGCTCCCGAGCGAAGTGACCCCCCCGAGCGAAGTGAACCCCACCCTCCCCCTCAGAAATCGTGGGGGGTAGGGGTAGGGTTCGCATGTGCCCCCCTATCCAGGTTGCGCGAATCAGCACCTCTTCTGAGCCATTGTTGGTACGAGCACCGCCGACGCTGGTGGACCGAGCGGGCGCGCGTCGTCATGCAACACTCCACGTAACAATCACACGTGCGAAGACACGGAATTAGTAACAGGAGCAACGGGATGAGGAGGACAACGGCGGCACCAATCGGCGCAGTACTGGCTGCAACCGTGTTGGAAACATCCGAATGGCCGTAATAGTAACAGCTCTGCCATAAGAGATGGTAGCCGTAGAAATACTGAACGTGATTGTGGGCTCAGTGCTGGTACTACGCCTTGGATTATCACTAACAGCGGTACTTGGAGTAATACCAAGTGGCAATACATGCACAACAGATGTGGTACTAGTGTTAAGGCGTTGGTGACGATATGTGGTAGGTTGAAAACAACATGTAGTAATATGCCGCGCAGAATGAAAATATGCAGTTGCACAAACATGTCCGGTGTAGCCCTCAGGGGTGGACTGGCGAATGGCAATAATTGTGCATAGAAATAGCGGTGGAAGTGGCAGTAGTCATATACATGGTCGTAGCGGCATCAGAAACAGCAGCAATAGCACTAGACGTAGCAGCAGTGGTGATTGTGTAGTAGTAGTAGTAGCAGTAGTAGTAGTAGTAGTAGTAGTAGTAGTAGCCGCAGTAGTAGTAGTAGTAGTAGTAGTAGTAGTAGTAGTAGTAGTAGTAGTAGTAGTAGTAGTAGTAGTAGTAGTAGTAGTAGTAGTAGTAGTAGTAGTAGTAGTACTACTACTACTACTACTACTACTACTACTACTACTACTACTACTAGTCGTCATTATAATAACCCTGATAATAATAGCCGTAGTTCTGGTAGTTGCAGTACTAGTGACAACTGGTGCTAGTAGAAATATTAGTTGTAGCAGTACTAGTAGAAGTAGCAGTAGTAGTAATAGTGGTAGTACTAGCCGTAGTAGTAGTAGTAGTAGTAGTAGTAGTAGTAATAGTAATCGTAGTAATGCTCGTAGTAGTACTGACCGAAATCGTAATAGTCGTGTCGGTCGTAGTATTTGCCACCGTAGTAGTAGGAATAGTAGCAGAAGTAGTAGTAGTAGTAGTAGTCGTCGCAGTAGTCACAGTAGTGTTAATAGTGGTGGTAGAGCCAATCGTAGCAGTAGTAGTAGTAGTAATAATACTAGTCGTAGTAGTAGTAGTAGTAGTAGTAGTAGTAGTAGTAGTAGTAATAGTAGTAGTAGTAGTAGTAGTAGTAGTAGTAGTAGTAGTAGTAGTAGTAGTAGTAGTAGTAGTAGTAGTAGTAGTAGTAGTAGTAGTAGTAGTAGTAGTAGTAGTAGTAGTAGTAGTAGTAGTAGTAGTAGTAGTAGTAGTAGTAGTAGTAGTAGTAGTAGTAGTAGTAGTAGTAGTAGTAGTAGTAGTCGTAGTAGTAGTAGTAGCAGTAGTAGTAGTAGTAGTAGTAGTAGTAGTAGTGATGACGGTAGTAGTAGTAGTAGTAGTAGTAGTAGTAGCAGTAGTAGTAATAGTCGTCGTCGCAATACTAAATCGTAGCGGTGGTAGTAGTAGTAGAAGTAGTAGTAATAGTCCTAGTGGTGGTAGTAGTAGTAGTAGTAGTAGCAGTAGTAGTAGGCATACTAGTAGTAGTAGTAGTAGTAGTAGTAGTAGTAGTAGTAGTAGTAGCACTCGTTGCCGTCGTAGTAGTACTGATAGTCGTCGAGATAGAGTATTCCGATTGGTAGTAGAGGTATGAGTAGGAGTAGTAGTAGTAGCAGTAATAGCCATCGCAGTAGGAATAATATCAGCCAGCGTTGACCCCAAATAAAACATCAAGAAACCAGAGGAATCAAGCATGCTTGGAGCCCGCAACTCAGCAAGCAAACAAGCAAGCAACCGCGCAAGCAAGCAAGCAAGCAAGCAAGCAAGCGCGCAAGGAAACAAGCAAGCAAGCAAGCAGGCAGATGCATAGGCGTAGGCATAGGAGTTATGGGGGAGGCATAGCCATAGGAATTAAATAGGGGGGCATAAGAATTAGGGAGGGGAGCGGATCAATTAGTAAGGTTTGAGCTGAGACGCCAATGAAGCAAACCTATTTGGAGAATAATACCGGTAGCAACAATGGAAGAAATAGGAATAGTCGTATCGGTCGTAATACTCGCCGTAGTAGGAGAAGTAGTAGCAGTCATAGTAGTAGTAGCAGTAGTAGTAGTAGTAGCAGTAGTAGTACTGGTAGAATTGGAAGTAGTAGCCGTCGTCGCCGCCGTCGTAATGACGTCAGCAGTAATGGTAGTAGTAGTAGTAGTAGTAGTAGTAGCAGTAGTAGCTGTAGTGGTAGTAGTAGTAGTAGTAGTAGTAGTAGTACAGGCAGTAGTAGTAGTAGTAGTAGTAGTAGTAGTAGTAGCAGTAGTAGTGATAATAATCATGGTGGTAGTACGAGTAGTACACGCGCGAATGCTCGTAGTAGTAGTCGCAGTAGTAGTAGTAGTAGTAGTAGTAGTAGTAGTAGTAGTAGTAGTAGTGGTGGTACTAGCAGTGATAGTAGTAGTAGGAGTGATGGTAGTAGTAGTAGTAGAAGTCGTAGAAGTAGTAGTAGTAGTACTAGTAGTAGTAGTAGTAGTAGTAGTAGTAGTAGTAGTGATAAGTATAATAAGTGTTGTTGTTTTGGTAGTGGTGCTGGAGGTGGTAGTAGTAGTGATGATTGTCGCAGCCGTAGTAATTGTGAAAGTCACAGTCCTACCACTGATAACAGTAGCCGTGGTAATAGTAGTAAGAAGTGGTCGGCGCCATAGTAGATGTAGTAGTAGTAGTAGTAGTACTACGACTACTACTAGTAGCAGTAGTAGTGGTAGAAGTAGTAGTCGAAGTAGTGGAAGTGATAGTAGTAGTAGTCGTCGTCGTCGTAGTAGTAGTAATAGTAGTAGTGGTCGCACGGGTAGCAGTTGTAGTTGTAGTCGTGGTGGTAGTACCAGTAGTAGTAGTAGTGGTGGTGGTGGTAGTAGTAATGGTCGTAACAGTAGTGGTAGCATAGTACGAGTAGAAATGGCATTCATTTAAGTACTCGTAGTTGTAGTAGTCGTGGTAGTAGTCGTCGTGGAAGTAATACTCGTAGTAGTAGCAGTAAACATAACAATAAGAATAGCAGCAATAGTAGTAGTAATAGTAGTAGTAGTAGCAGCAGTAGTAGTAGTCGTCGTCGTCGTCGCAGTCAGAGTAGTAGTAGTAGTAGTAGTAGTAGTAGTAGTCGTAGCAGTAGTAGTCGTAGTAGTAGTTGTGGTAGTCGTAGTAGTAAAAGTAGTACTGCGTACTAGTAGTAATCGTAGTAGTAGTAGTCGTAGTAGTAGTAGTCGTAGTGGTAGTCGTTCTACTAGTGGTGGAATTGCAGTAATAATAGTGGTCGTAGCCGTAGTAGTAGTAGTAGTACTACTACTACTACTACTACTACTAGCAGCAGTAGTAGCCGCCGTCGTCGACGCCAGAGTATCGTCAGTAGTAGTAGTAGTAGTAGTAGTAGTAGTAGTAATAGTAGTAGTAGTAGTGGTGGTAGTAGTAGTAGTAGTAGTAGTGGTAGTAGTAGTAGTAGTAGTAGTGGTAGAAATTGTAATAGTAATAATAAAAGTAATAGTAGTAGGAGTAGTAGTAGTAATAGTACTAGAGGCAGATGTAGTAGCAGTAGCATGGGTAGTAGTAGTAGTAGTAGTAGTAGTAGTAATGGTAATTGTAGTGAGAAGAAGTGATACTAGAAATGCTACAGAATAATAGGACTAGTCGTAGTAGTAGTCGTCATAGTAGTAGTAGTAGTAGTAGTAGCAGTGGTAGTCGTAGTCGTAGTAGTAGTAATAGTCGTAGTAGTAGTAGACGTAGTAGTGGTAAAAGTAATAGTAATACTACTCGTAGTAGTAGTAGTAGTAGTAGTAGTAGTAGTAGTAGTAATAGTAGTAGTAGTAGTAGCAGTAGTAGTAGTAGTCGTGGTAGTAGTAATAATAGTAGTCGTAGTCGTAGTCGTAGTCGTAGTAGCAGTAGTAGTAGTAGTCGTAGTAGTAGTAGTAGTAGTAGTAGTAGTAGTAGTAGTAGTAGTAGTAGTGGTAGTATGAGTAGTAGTCGTGCCAGTCGTGGTAACGGTAGCGGTAGTAGTAGTAGTAGTAGTAGTAGTAGAAGTAGTAGTAGTAGTAGTAGTAATAATAGTAGTAGTAGTAGTAGTAGTAGGAGTACTAGTAGTAGTAGTAGTAGTAGTAGTAGTAGTAGTAGTAGTAGTAATAGTAGTCGTAGTCGTCGTATTAGTAGTAGCGATAATTGTTGTTGTGCTCCCGCTTCAGACGTCCGCCAGATACAAGGCTGAAGGGACCAAACTTTACGATAGTTACAAGGTTCTGATGACCAGCTTGGATTCATAACATGATCTGCGGGCCCCATAAAGAGGGGCCTCCCGCCTGAAACTTCCTGGCAAGCCACTCACAGACGGGGTTCCTTGCTTTAGACTTCCGACATGTTAAAGACTAAATAAGCCACACGTGACGATAACTACAAGGTCCGATGACCCGCTCGGATTGGGAACCTGATCTGCGGGACCCATAGGGAGGGGGTCCCGCATGAGACTTCCTCCCAAAAAACTCACAGACGAGGTTCCCGCGCGAGACTTCCGCCACATACAGGACTGAGGAACAAACATGTAAAATGATATCCTACCACTCCTTCCTCCTCTGCCTCCACTTCCTCCTCCTGCTTGGCGGTCGTCCTCGTTCGCGCCGTCGCCGTTCGTCGTTGCCGTCGCGTCGGCGGCTGCCGCTTATCCCTCTGCCAGGACCTCGCACCCTTTCGGGGCGCGCGAGCCCAACCAAGAAGTCGAACATCCCTAGAATACTCTTCCTCCTCCTCCTCAAGCTCATCAGGAGGACCTAGCTTCGAATCGGACGCTCGGACTCGGAACGGTGGCAGACCGAATCGAATAGGACCGAAACAATTCGAATCGATTCGAATCAAAAATGGCAACATAATACCGGACCGGCTGGAATTCTGTTCAGTGACAATGCATTTGCTACGCAGGGCAATGGAGTCCTGAGGACCTCAGGCACGCTCCAGCAGTCTCCGAAAACCTTCCAAAATGACGACGACGGCTGCGGCAGCATCAGCGACGACTATGACAATGACGAGGGACGACGATGAACGACGACGACGACCGACGACGGACGGACGACGAGAGCGCCGACCAGACGACCGACGACTAAAGACGACCTATGACAAACAATGGCTACGACTTCGACGACATCTGCATGGCGACGGTGAAAACGACGACGACGACGACCAGACGGCGAACGACAGAGACAAACGACAGCCAGGCCGTCCTGGCCCAGGGGGCCGTGGATCACGAAGATGGGGAATGCGAGGCCGCCGAGGGTGGTGAGGATCTTGCTCGAGAGGACTTTGACGATCGCGTCCTTGCGGGGGGGCGGAGGGGGGAGGCAGGGGGAGAAGAGAAGGGAGGGAGGGGAGAAAGGGGGAGAGGGGCAGGGGTGGAGCGAGGGAGGAGGAGGAGGGGTACCTAGAGAGGAGGAGGAGGAGGAGGAGGAGGAGGAGGAGGAGGAGGAGGAGGAGGAGGAGGAGGAGAGGAGGAGAAAGAAGAGGAAGAGGGGAGATAGGGAGGACGAAGGGGGGGAGAGAAGCAAGGGGGGATGAGGTAGGGGAAGGGAGCGAGCGAGGGACGATGAGTATGAGGGGGGAGAGGAGGAGAGGGAGGGGGAGGGGGAGGAGGAGGGAGGAGGAGGAGAGGAGGAGGAGGAGGAGGAGGAGAAGGGAGGAGAAGACGGAGTATCCGTGGGAAGATAAAGAAGAGGAGGAGGAGGAGGAGGAGGAGGAGGAGGAGGGGCAGGAGGAGGAGGAGGAGGAGGAGCAGAAAGAGAGGACGAGCAGGACGAGCGGCCCAGCGGCGACCCTGCGGCGCGGTCCAGGCTCGCGGGCCGCGGGGGTTCGAGCAGGAGGCGCCCGAGCGGCGGCACAATCGCAGCTTCCCTCGCAGGGGGCAGCAGCGGGAGCATGAGCAGCCCTCCCTCCGTACTCCTCCGTACTCCTCCGTACTCCTCCTCCTCCTCCTCCTCCTCCTCCTCCTCCTCCTCCTCTCCTCCTCCTCCTCCTTCTCTTCCCTTCTTCTCATTCTCCTCCTCCCCCTCCTCCTCCTCACCCTCCTCCTCCTCTTCCTCCTCCTCCTCCTCCTCTTCCTACTCCTCCTGCTTCGCTTCGCTTCGCGGTAGCGGGCAAATTGCCGAAGGAGGCCGACAAGCCCGAAAGGTAACAGCTCAAGATCAAACGGGGAGACTTTAAGCTGCTTCCCCGAAGCCGATTCCGAACTGCCTTCAGCCGAATCCGCTGCGTTCGCAGCGGCAGCCTTGAGGCGCTCAGCACGGGTCTCCCGTGCACCTACCCGTACCCCATGCACCTACCCCTGCACCACACCTCGCTGGGCAGCGCGCCGCCCGCAGCGCAGACGCGGCCAGGGGCTCTGGCACGCGGGGGCATCAGATGCAGCATCCCTTTCCGGGCACTGCGCATCGTGTCTCGACCTTGCTCCAGCTTCGGCACGGGGAGGAGGGCCATGTGCGGGAGCTGGTGCCCGCTCGAGAGGGCAGCCACGATCGCGTCGCTGCTCTAGGAGCAGGAGGGGAGGGGGAGGAGGAAGGAGGGAACAGTGAGGGATGAAGTGGTGAGGAATATGAGAAGGGTGGACGTAGACAAGTAGGGAATACACATCCAATGTGGGGCGGGAACAGTATGGAGAAGAGGGCGGGGAGAAGCAGGGGAAGGGAGCGAGAATCAGGAAGGGAAGACGATCAGAGTGGTATCTATATGTGCACACATATGAGAGAGAGAGAGAGAGAAACAAAAAAAAGAGAGAGGAGAGGGGGAGAAAGCTGGATGTATATATAGAGAGAGAAGGAGATGGAGAGCGAGAGAGAGGGGGGCAAGACGAGGGAGGAGGGATGCGAGATGATATGATGATAAAGGATTGCAGGGAGGCGGCGGAGGAGGAGGAGGAGGAGGAGGAGGAGGAGGATGAGGAGAGAGGAGGATGAGGAGGGGAAGGAGGGGAAGGAGGGGGAGGATGAGAAGAAGCAGGAGGAGGAGCAGGAGGAGGAGGATTTGTTCTACATCGACGGCCAGAGACGTCCCCCCCCCAGGGGCGCAGCCTGCGTGCCGAGGGCCTCCACGACCAGGTCCACGAGTAGGACGGCGCACAGCACAGCGGGTGGTGGAAGGCGACATCCCCGACGAAGTGAGAGAGAACGACATCCAGGACCAAGACGACCCAGATGGACACAGCAGTGCCCAAGCAGAACGATCAGACATACATGCATAAATAAATATATATATATATATATATATACAAATATATATATATATAGAGAGAGAGAGAGAGAGAGAGAAAAACAAAAAGATAAAGAAAGCAAGCAACACCAACTGGTCCGCACCAACGGGCAGGCTCTGGGCTCCGATGGCCAGCAGCGGCCGAGTCGGCACCGCGGGGCGAACGCCGGAGCCGCGCAACCCCACGAGCCGCGATCGGCAAAGAGAGGCTGCGGTCGGGACCTTCTGCTCAGCGTGCGCGTCAATTCGCTCCGCGGGGCGGGAGGCCTCGGAAGTTCGAGAGGCTCGGGATGCCAACGCTCGAGCCCAGGGGCGTGGACAGAGTTAGGTCGGGACGTTATCTGACAGTCAAACAAAGATCACCCCAAATACTCAAAAAGAGTCAAAACATAAGCCCCAGACTATTTTGGGGGGGAACTATGTCTGAATATTCCTCCTGCAGAGGGACAGGCCCGACGTCAGGGCAGAGTGTGCCGCGCCGAGGCGTGGTGGGCCAGAGCCCGCGGCGCGGCACTCTGAGCAGGAGGCTCCTGCCGCTCCGGGCTCCCGCAGCCGCGCGGCCGGCCCTCCCCGTCGCCGACGCCGCGCGCACGGCCGAGGCTCCCACGCGCCCGCGGTGCCCACGCGGCCGCGCCCACGGTCACGGCTCGAGCGGCACGAACGGGCCCACCTCCGCGCGGGGCGTGTGCGCCGGGCGGGGTGAGCAAGAGCGCGCCTGCAGGCGGTGCGGCAGGGCAGGGTGCGCCGCCGAAGTCGCAGGGAAGGGGAGGCGAGGAGGAGGGAGAGAAGCGGGAGGGGAGATGAGAGGGGGGGGAATGATGGAGAGAGGGATGGGAGCGGACGGAATTTGCAGGAAGGAGGGAGAGGAAAGACGGCATGAAGAGAGGGGACGAAGGGAGATGGGGGGATCGAGGAGGAGGGAGGAAGGAGGAGGGAGACAGTATGGAGAGGAGGGGGAGAGAGTGGGAATCGGGCGGGGTCGGGAGGTGAGAAAGGATGGAGTCGAGATGAGACGAGTTGAAAGAAGAGGATCCGCGGCGGAGAGAGGATGAGGTGTGAGGAAAAGGAGAGGGCGGAGAGGGCAAGGGGGGTACGGAAACAGGAGGCGAGGAGGAGGTGCAATGGGGAGACGGATGAGAGGAGAGGTGAGGGGAGGGCGCAGGAGTCAGACGGGAAGGGGGGTCGGCGGGGAATGACGGAGTGGAGGCAGAGTCGAGGTGAGGTGTGCGTGTGTGTGTGTGCTTGTGTGTTGTGTTTGATTATTTGCTTGTCCGTTCGTCAGTTTGTTTGTTTGCTTGTTTGTTTGTTTGTTTGTTTGTGTGGTTGGTTAGATGGTTGGTTGTTTGTCTGTAAATGTGTTTGTTTGTTTGTTTGTTTGTTTGTTTGTTTGTTTGTTTGTTTGTGTGTTTGTTTGTGTGTGCGTTTGCGCAGGATGGGATGGAGTGGGTGGGGGGAGGGGGCGGGCGACGAGGGAGGAAGAGGAGGCACCAAGGAGACTGGACGGGGAGAGGAGGCACGCACAGATGGAGGGCCGGCGGCGCGGAGCGCCTCCGCGGGGAGAACCGCGACGCCCTCGCGCCATCCCCCCCCCCCCAACTGGGTCCTCGACCTTGGGCTTCACGCTCGCACGGTGGGCCGCCATCAGGAACGCCAGGAAGAGAGGCATGAAGATGAGCGCGCGCGTGAGCATGTCGCTGAGCGCGATGACCTCCCGGCACGCGCTGACGTGAACCGCGGATCCGTGAATCTGGCGCTTTGGGCACCGGACCCAGGGATCGCGGACACACACCCTTCGAGAGACGGGGCCAGTGAGGCCTGCTTGGAGGCGGAGTGCGCCGATATTTTTCTGCTGGAAGCGTGGCCGTCGACGCCCGCGCCCGTCCCGCCCTTTGTGGGCCCCGGAAACGGCAGGGCCGTTTTTCCACCGTTTCCAGAAAATTGTCCCTTGAAAATGGAAACGGCAAAAAAAAGCGACCGGAAACGGCAAAAAACGGCTCCAGGATTGGAACCGGAGCCGGGATCCCCCGCGTGCTCCCCAGCCTGCCAGACGGTTAGGGCGGGGGGTAGGAGGAGCTCGACCTTGATCGCCACGAGCTTCGGGCGTCTGCCCGGACATATGATCTCACAAGGCCGTCTCTGCCTCCCCGGCAGGACGACGCCGAGGGGAGAGCAGGGGGGAGGAAAGGGGGGGTGAGAGTAGGGAAGCGGGAGGAGGGGACGGCTAAGGAGGAGCAGCAGAGGGGTAGAAATCTAAGGGGGAGGAGGAGGAGGAGGAGGAGGAGGAGGAGGAGGAGGAGGAGGAGGAGGAGGAGGAGGAGGAGCTGGACGAAATCAAGGAGGATGGAGGGGAGGCACGGGCAGGGAGAATCGGAGGGGGAAAATGAACAGGATGCGTAGGAGAAGAAGGAACAGATGCAGGAGGATAGCTAGGATAATGATGACGACGGGGAGGGCGAGCGAGGATGCGGAAGAGGGGGAGGAGGAACTGAAGCAGGAGGAAGGCGAGAAAGAACATGGAGACGAGGATGAGGATGAGGAGGATCAGCAGGACGAGGAACAGCAGGATGAAGACAAGCAGTACGAATGGCAAGGATCAGGGGCAGGTGGCGTGAAGGCCCCCCTCCTGTTCCTCCTCATCCTACTTCTCCCCGCTCCCATTGTCCCCCTGCTCTGCCTCCTCCTTCTCCTCCTCCTCCTCCTCCTCCACCCCTTTTCCTTATAAATACATTCTCCCTGTCGCACCCCGGAGCCAGTTTTTAGGGCGGGCTGGGCGTTTCGTCTAAGACTTCCTCGCCATTTATTTAGGCCGAAGCTTTAAACATCGCAACAGTTTCAAACATGGAGGGCGGGTGGTTTTCAAAATGTGGCTCTCGCATTGGCGCCGCGCACAGTCCTTTTAAAGATTTGCACGGGTTTCACGGATTGAGGGCGGGTGGTTTTCAAAATGTGGCTCTCATCCTAGCGCCGCGCACATGCGTTTTAAAGATTTGCAAGAACTTCACAGATGGAGGGCGGGTGGTTTTCAAAATGTGGCTCTCATCTTAGCGCCGCGCACATTCGTTTTAAACATGTGCAAGAGTCTCACGGATTGAGGGCGGGTGGTTTTCAACATGTGGCGCTCGTCTTAGCGCCGCGCACAGTTTTTCCAAAGATGTGCAAGAGTTTCATGGGTTGAGGGCGGGTGGTTTTAAACATGTGGCTCTCATCTTAGCGCCGCGTACATTCGTTTTCAACAGTTGCACGCGTTTCACGGATTCCCATGATCAACGTGCCAGAAATGGTGCTTTGGAAGGATTCAGGGCTATGCGGGTGCAACTGTTATGTTGATTCGCGGTGATGAAGTCCCCAAGATGGCGTTATGTTACATTACAGACCGTCAGGACGCAGCAGTCAGGTTGATCCGTGGCGTGGAAATCCAGAGAACAATGTGTTGGTATGCTTCAAGGTATTCAAAAGGTTGTCTTCCAACGAGGCAGTTCCTTCAATGGACATGAACCGTTGTAGGGGCCTATGAAGAGGGAGCTTGAAGGGAGGGATAGTTCAAACATCGTTGATGACTCTTGGATTTACACTGGTCCTCCTCCTCCTCCTCCTCCTCCTCTTGAGCTTCGTCCCCCTCCAGCTCATCCTCCGCATCAATGTTCCTTCTCCACCTCGATCTCATTCCCTTCCCCTCCACCCCCCGAGCGGGCGCCTGCTTGCCTCAAGGTGATGCTGTCTAGCAGGCAGCCACTGTGGCCCCTCTGGTCTGACGACTGGCTTCCAAAAAGCTGCGTTGTACCATTAGGTGTTTGGGCTGATATGCACTCGGTGAGCTCATTGCCGCCCTCCCGCCATCCACTTGTTCTGCCTTGCACTCGCCAGTGTCCTCTCCTCGTCCTTGTCGTCCTCCTCGATGGTTCCCTCACCATGCTGCTCGCCTTTCCCCCTCCTCCTCCTCCTCCTCCTCCTCCTTCTCCTCCACCTCCTCCTCCTCCTCCCCCGCCTCCTCCTCCTCCTCCTGCTCCTCCTCCTCCTCCTGAGACTTCCAGAACCTCGTCGGATTCCAGTCGGGGCCGGCCGGTTTGATCCACAACAAGGGGGTCGAACGCCTCCCTGGAATCTGAGGCACGGCCAGCTGAGGCTAGGACTGGACTTCAGAAAAGCGGGCTCTGAACCTTAAGGCCAACCAGGATGCTGATGCCAAGGCCACGCCAACGGCGATGTTGGGAATATGGCTTTTGCGATGCCGAACCCGCGCAGAACACATTGTAGGATAACACAAACAAGCCCTTCCTACAGTTGGGTTGGCCACGAACCACCCCACCTACAATACCGAAACCTACATCGCCGTTACCTACATCGCCGTTAGCGTGCCTACGGTGATGCACGAATTGGGGCAACACCAGGGCCAGGACACATCGGGGATCTCTGAGATCCAGCGGCTCTAGAAGACGTGCCCGCTGCAGCGGCCCCTGCAGAGCTGAGGGGCAACGACACGGAGGGGACTGGCAGGGATGCATCGACCTGGAATCGGCGATACATCGCCGATAGATCGGCGATAGGCCCCTGATAGTGAGTCCGCACCTTCCTGGGCAGGTTGGGGCTGTCGGGCCCCTATCGGCGATCAATGGGTGATTGGGGGTCGATGCATCCTCCCCATGCCTATCCCCCCCTATCGCTGCCCCTGAAGGGCGCTGCAGAGAACGCCCCGAGAGCGCTCCAGAACGCCCTCGAGCGACGCATCCCGGTCCCGGGCCCGCCCGAGGCACCATTCCTGCCTGTTCTGATTCTTGGAGGAGCGGCTCCCGGCGGTGGGTGCGCATCGCCTGTGCGGTGCAGGGCGGCGGAGCCATGCAAGCTGGCAGCCCTGCCTCCGGGGCGTTCCGACGTCGCGATGTGTGCCACAGCGAGCCTCCAGGCAGGGCTGCACCTAAAACAAAGCCAGGACGAGGAACAAATCGGGTGAGGATGCATCGAGAGTCTCTGAGATCCGCCGGCTCTGGAGGATGTCTCGGGCGCGGCGGCCTTCTCAGAGGCTCCCGGAACGCTCTGAGACCTCTGAGAGCGTTCGGGAACGCTCTGAGAAGTCAAGCGGCTCGCGAATCGTCAAGCCCTCGGGGAAAACCGTGCGGTGATCGACCGCGTGGTGACCTCGGAACCCCCAACGACCCCAGCGCGCGGTCCGTCACCGCTACGGTCCTGACGCCCTGGAGGCCTCAGTCGCCCGAGACGTCGGACGTCCTCGGAGAACGGCCCGAGGCCCAGAACTGGGCGGCGACCCCGAAGCCCCCCACCACACCGCCCGTGGCGTGGTGGGGCGGAGGTGGAGCGGACGCAGCCCGACCAGGGAGGACCACGACGACCGAGGGAAGGGGCGGGGGGCACGAGGAGCGGGCGGGACGGCCCAAGGGGCGGGGGGGGCACGAGGAGCGGGCGGGAAGGGGGAGAGGGCCCCACACTCCCTCCCACCCCTCCCTCGGCCCCTGCCCTCTCCCGCTCCGCCTCGTGCCTCCTCTCCTCCCCGCCCCGAGGCCTCGGCACGCGGCGGGGGGGGCCCCGCCGCTCCAGGGGGGGGGGGCCCCGCGTCGTCGAGGGCGGGAGGGGCGCCGCGCGGGGAGCGGGCGGCCCGGGAGGGGGCAGAGGGGCCTCGGCGGCCGATGCGGGGAGCTCTGGAGGGGCACCGGGGGGGGGGGGAAGGTTGGAGGCGGCGGGGCGTGGTGGGGAGCGGAGCGGCGAGGGGAGGGACGGGCGGGGGAGGGGCGGGAGGGGCGCGAGGGGGAGGGGCGGGGGAAGGGGGGGGGGAGAGGAGCGGGGAAGGGCCGGCGGAGAAGGGCAGCGGGCTCACCCCCGTGGCGCGCAGCAGGATGACGGCCACCATGCCGACCTCGGCTGCGCGTCGCGTGCCGCCCTCGGAGGGAGGCCGAGGGGAGGGAGGCGGAGCAGGAGAAAGATCGGGAGGGAGGAGAGGGAGGAAGCAGGGCAGGAGAAGGGGGGAGGATGAGGAGGACTGGCGAGGAGGAGAAGGACGACGGGGAGGACCACCGGGAAAGGAAAGAGCCACCTCCCTGTCCCCTTGCTGTTTCTACTACGCCCCCGTGAGAGGGGGAAACAATCAAACAACAACAACAACAACAACAACAACAACAACAACAACAACAACAACAACAACAACAACAACAACAACACCACCACCACCACCAACAACAACAACAACAACAACAACAACAACAACAACAATTACTAGCACGTGGGGACACTCCGTTCTCACCAGTGCCAAGGTTTTCATACGACGCCCGCCAATACCCCCACTTTGTGGGGGGGCCGGTTCATACTCTACCACATTTCCAAACGACTCTTCGCCACCACCCACACCCAGCTTCCCGCCCTATGACGTTCGGACATTTCACTTCGTGGCCTGCGGACGACCGTGGCTACTACACTGGCGCATGGGTACAGTGACTTGTTGTGGTAACATTTTCTGGACGCTAGCTTAGTATACGACTTTTCCCCATGTTCCAACACTGGACACCTGTACTGGTTTTTGGTGGTAACGTGTTCCTGACGCTAGAATAGGAAACCACGGTAAACCAGTACGACGCCGGTACTGTCTGTGGGTCCTACAATGATATGGACTGCTTTGGCTGGTGAGGCGCTAGCGTCTGATACGACGTTTTTCCGTTTCTGTACCACACAAGCGAAGACACTTATTCTGAGTGGTACCACGTGGGTGGCGCCAGCATACCACAGGACTTGTTTCCGTTGTTGTGAGACGATACATGCTCATTCTTGTTCTGTGGTTGTCGTTCCGGCCTCAATGTGCAATACTGGCTCATTCGTCCACGAAATACACGTGAGTAGCTCTCTCTGGTTGGAGGTCCTGATGGTTGTGGTTGTCCCGATGGTTGTCGCGATGATTGTCCCGATGGTTGTCCCGATGTTGTTCCGATGGTTGTCCCGATGGTTGTCCCGATGGTTGTCCCGATCGTTGTCCCGATGGTTGTCCCGATGGTTGTCCCGATGGTTGTCCTGATGGTTGTGGTTGTCCCGATCGTTGTCCCGATGATTGTCCCGATGGTTGTCCTGATGGTTGTTCCGATGGTTGTCCCGATGGTTGTCCCGATGGTTGTCCCGCATGGTATTATTTGACAGGGATGATGGCCCTGGCAGGTGCGCAACCGTTGTTGGAGAAGTTCGAAGCACGTGAAAAAGTTGCTCGCAAAAGCCCGTTTGACAGAAATGTTTTAAAAGTGTTGGGTTTCCTACAAATCCGCAAGAGCGCGCGGGATGAAATGTTGACACTTTTTTTTGAAAAACCATTGTTTTTTTGATGTTTTTATGTTAAAATCGTTACGAACACTAAGGTTTTGGAAGGATTTCGTCTTGCGCGCGCGAATGTCCACTTTACCTTATTTTTTGCAAGGGATTCTTGAAGCTTGGTTATGTTAGAACAAGAAATGTCCACTTTGCCTTCTTTTTCCCAACCATCCTGTGGTGTTGGGTCCTCGTTTTGAAGAGACGGTGCCCGCGTCCTCTCCTCTCCTCCCTCCTCCTCCTCCCTCCCCCTCCTTGCCTCTGCTCTCGGCACACCTCTCACGCGTTTCGTAGCCCCATAGGGAGCTCCACCGAAGGCCCCAGTGGGGGTGTCCACATGCGGTTCCCCCACCCAGGGCAGCGTTTCGTGGCCCCATAGGGAGCTCCACCGAAGGCCCCAGTGGGGGTGTCCACATGCGGTTCCCCCACCCAGGGCAGCGTTTCGTGGCCCCATAGGGAGCTCCACCGAAGGCCCCAGTGGGGGTGTTCGCATGCGGTTCCCCCACCCAGGGCAGCGTTTCGTGGCCCCATAGGGAGCTCCACCGAAGGCCCCAGTGGGGGTGTTCGCATGCGGTTCCCCCACCCAGGGCAGCGTTTCGTGGCCCCATAGGGAGCTCCACCGAAGGCCCCAGTGGGGGTGTCCACATGCGGTTCCCCCACCCAGGGCAGCGTTTCGTAGCCCCATAGGGAGCTCCACCGAAGGCCCCAGTGGGGGTGTCCACATGCGGTTCCCCCACCCAGGGCAGCGTTTCGTAGCCCCAGAGGGAGCTCCACCGAAGGCCCCAGTGGGGGTGTCCACATGCGGTTCCCCCACCCAGGGCAGCGTTTCGTGGCCCCATAGGGAGCTCCACCGAAGGCCCCAGTGGGGGTGTCCACATGCGGTTCCCCCACCCAGGGCAGCGTTTCGTGGCCCCATAGGGAGCTCCACCGAAGGCCCCAGTGGGGGTGTCGCATGCGGTTCCCCCACCCAGGGCAGCGTTTCGTGGCCCCATAGGGAGCTCCACCGAAGGCCCCAGTGGGGGTGTTCGCATGCGGTTCCCCACCCAGGGCAGCGTTTCGTGGCCCCATAGGGAGCTCCACCGAAGGCCCCAGTGGGGGTGTTCGCATGCGGTTCCCCCACCCAGGGCAGCGTTTCGTTCGTAGCGAGGGAGCGTCCACCGAAGGCCCCAGTGGGGGTGTTCGCATGCGGTTCCCCCACCCAGGGCAGCGTTTCGTGGCCCCATAGGGAGCTCCACCGAAGGCCCCAGTGGGGGTGTCCACATGGGTTCCCCCACCCAGGGCAGCGTTTCGTATAGGGAGCTCCACCGAAGGCCCCAGTGGGGGTGTTCGCATGCGGTTCCCCCACCCAGGGCAGCGTTTCGTAGCCCCATAGGGAGCTCCACCGAAGGCCCCAGTGGGGGTGTCGCATGCGGTTCCCTTACCCAGGGCAGCGTTTCGTGGCCCCATAGGGAGCTCCACCGAAGGCCCCAGTGGGGGTGTTCGCATGCGGTTCCCCCACCCAGGGCAGCGTTTCGTAGCCCCATAGGGAGCTCCACCGAAGGCCCCAGTGGGGGTGTTCGCATGCGGTTCCCCCACCCAGGGCAGCGTTCGTGGCCCCATGGGGAGCTCCACCGAAAGCCCCCGTGGCGCAGTTCGCATGCGCTTCCCCCACCCAGGGCAGCGTTTCGTGGCACCATAGGGAGCTCCACAGAAGGCCCCAGTGGGGGTGTTCGCATGCGGTTCCCCCACCCAGGGCAGCGTTTCGTAGCCCCATAGGGAGCTCCACCGAAGGCCCCAGTGGGGGTGTTCGCATGCGGTTCCCCCACCCAGGGCAGCGTTCGTGGCCCCATAGGGGGGCTCCACCGAAGGCCCCAGTGGCTGCTTCGCATGCGGTTCCCCCACCCAGGGCAGCGTTTCGTGGCCCCATAGGGAGCTCCACCGGAGGCCCCAGTGGCTGCCCTCGCATGCGGTTCCCCCACCCAGGGCAGCGCTTCGTGGCCCCATGGGGAGCTCCACCGAAAGCCCCCGTGGCGCAGTTCGCATGCGCTTCCCCCACCCAGGGCAGCGTTTCGTGGCACCATAGGGAGCTCCACCGAAGGCCCCAGTGGCGCAGTTCGCATGCGGTTCCCCCACCCAGGGCAGCGTTTCGTAGCCCCATAGGGAGCTCCACCGAAGGCCCGCCCCGGTGGCGCAGTCCGCATGCGGTTCCCCCTATCCAAGGCAGCGCTTCGTGGCCCCATATGGAGCCCCACCGAAAGCGGCACCCACAACGCGTTACCAACAATTGCTTATGGTTGGGTCTTTCGCCAGGATAATTTGCAAGGGAAAACCGCCCGTAACAAAACAACCGGATCCGGACCAACCCGTTTTGCCAGAGACTTCCTCACGAAAATGATGAAAACATGGCTGCGGCCTAGGCGCGGCGAGGGGGCCGTGCACCAGGGGCCCCAACAATAATTATTTTTTAGAAGTAATAATGTTCAACAACAACAACAACACCACCATCAACAACAGCAACAACAACAACACCACCACCACCACCACCAACAACAACAACAACAACATCGACAACAACAACAACAATCATTATAATAAGATTCGCTCTTACTTGCCCGCGTGTCATTCAAAACGAAGTCCCCACACCCTCGATACCGGCCCTTTTTGTATTCGATCACACCCCCTTTGGGGTGATTATTTCTCTTTGCGGGGGGCGGCGGGTCTAGACTGGCGGGCGCACCTGAACGGGCGGACAATCCTTCGTGGGCGTACTGCGCCCGCCATTGGAACTGGTGTGGGCCCTGCAAAAAGAAGAGGGGGAGAACGAGGGAGAGTGGGAGGAAGGGAGGGGGACGGACGAAGGAAGAGGGAAAACGCCAGTAAAGAAGGAACGAACAGAGGGGCGCTGGATTAGAGGCAGAGGGAGAGAGAGAGAGAGAGACAAAAAAACATATAAGAGAAGTAGAGAAAGAAAGAAAGCGAGAGAGAGAGAGAGATGGAAGAGAAAGAAAGAAAGAGGGGAGGAGGCAGGAGAGGGGAGGGAGAAGGGAGGAGGGAGAGGAAGGAGAGGGGATAGGGCAGAGGAGCATTGGATGAGGGAAGAGAGGAGGGAGAGAGAAGAAGGAGAGGAGGGAGGAGGGAAGAGGGAGATGGAGGAGGAGCAGGAAGGTAAGAGCGTGAACGTTCGAGGAAGTCCTAGGCGAAAGCGCCGTTCCTGAAGGAAGTCTCGGGCGGGAACCCACGACGAGCGGGCGATCCCCTGACGGGCGGGTCGGGCGGGTGGGACATGCAAGCGGGATGCCTGAGTATGGCGAGAGCGCGATGACTAAGTAGATTGTAGCGGCGTCCTTGGCGCAGGGTGTTTCCTGAGCGTCGGAAGCGCGATTTCTAAATACATTGCATGGAGGTCACAGGAGAGAGCGCAACTTATGAATAATATGTGAAGGGCTCTCTGGCGGGAGCGGGGGTCTTGATAAATTGCGATGAAGTCTTGATTCAATCCCGAGGAAGTCTCCAGCGGGAGCGCCGTTCCTGAGTAAATTGTGAAGATTTCTCAAATGGGAGCGGAGGCCTTGACTAAATTGCGAGGGGGTCATA